AGTTGGCGAGTATTTTCTCCATAAGGTATACTTCCAAGATATAGACACGAGTATTCCATGAGCTTAGTACTTTTGTCAGCCAGCAGTTTATGTTCCCAGAAGCTAACGGTCTTCCCTTATTTCCTGGCTATGAACAGCTTCCAGGTTGTAAATACCAAGTCCTACTCTTACTAGGGGAACCAGGCAAGTGATGTCTGGAAAACGAGGTAACTTGATTCCCACCAGCAAGCCACATTTCAGAGCACACATTCTGACCTATAGACGATCAATTCTCTTCCCCTTCCTAGAGGTGGGAGGGGTAGTCTAGGTTAGTCCTAAGCCTTGAAGCTATCTTTCCCATATATGCAGAATGTCTTCCCTCCCTAAGCATTTATCTACTCATGACCACATCCCTTTATACACAGTGAGCCACTGCCATGGTGCGTCCGCTTCACGTTTCTCCTTATCGAGGGCGGATCTTCACACAGCCATGCACCCCTTTGCACCTGCAGCCAGAGAAGCCTCTCAGAGCTTGAGATCTGCTTCACCGTCACATCTGTGAGCCGAGCCACTCAACTCGAACAGCTTAAATGCACAGGCTCTGTGGTGTTGGCACAGCTGGCCTCTGCAGGCTGTAAAACCTACAGGGGATAGAAGCAAGGGGCAGTGAATGGGTGGTTAAATGTCACTTCCCAGAAGGAAAACAGCCCAAGGCAGAGGTTGCTGTGGTCACGCAGGCTGTGGACTCCATTAAAGGCATTCAGTGGAGGCCAGCAGGTGGCAGAGTGGTTAAGGAACTGGCTGCCTGTGGTTCAAGTCCTAGACCTGGCATCTTGAAAATCATGCCAGGCAAATGTGTGTACGTGCCTGCCCAAGTTCCCAGGAGTGAAAAGGAGAAGGGATTGTGGTGTGGCCATCCTCCTGGCGGGTGACTTCTCATTTTCCCTCTCACTGTCTCTCTCCTGCCAGCACTTATGCCCTATGGGAAAAATCTTAATTATTATTATAATTTTTAAAGGCAGTCTAGGGCTGATGTGACTCAAATATGCAAGGGTGGAGGAGCTCCTGCACTGGGGGAGGCGTCCAGGCATCAGGCTGGTCTCTGGGACTCACAGGGCGACCCTGAGCCGGTTACTTGCTGAGGAGCAGAATGAGCCCTGCATGGAGTGAGTGGTCACCACCAAGTATCACAGCTGATACACGCTTCTTGTAAGGAAGGACCCGGACCTAGTCCCTCCCTCTGGCCTTCTCATCTCCTCGCCTAGGGGTTCTCTAGTGACTGCTCTGGACGGGGCATGAGAAGTGATAGGTGCTCAGCTAAGTGAAGCGGGAGAGGCCAGAGGAGAGGGGACTCATCCACACCAGGGCATTTATGTGTCTACTGTTTCCTAAAGCTTTCTGTGGTCCATTCCTTTCAATAACTAAGCTTTATTTGAAGACCTCTGGGCTTACTCTTTTTTTTTTTTTTTTAAGAGAGATTTTTGCTATAGAGTGTGTGTACTTGCTGAAGAGACAGACAAAAAGCGAGAAATCTCCCTCCACGAGGGATGGTCATGCCACAATCCCTTCCCCTCTCGTCTCCTCTTGGGATTTTGAGCACACATACACACAAACCTGGCATGAGTTTCAATCTGCCAGATCCAGGACTCGAACCACAGCTGGCTATGTGGGAGTCCAGTTCCTTAACCACTATGGCATTTGCTGGCCCCTAGGCTTACACTTAGCCAAATGAGGGTTGCCAGATGTGCGCTTCTTTCTTGGTATGGTCGCACACCTAATGTAGCAAGTCCACTAAGGACTGCCAATAGATTGATGGGACAGGGACAACTCGGACCCTCAGTCTCTCCTCACCTGCTGGCGTGTCCAGGTTACATCTTCCTATCGTCACTTCAGGACACACTCATGACGGTTCCGGGGGTGAGGGCACCTCCTTAGGTTACAATGTCACTCACATCCTAAGTGACTAGGAATCAGAGGCAGGGCTTTCTGGAGGGCCGGGCTGGTAGTGAGCTAAAGCTCCAAGGCCACCTACAAGGGGCAGAGCATGCCAGTGTGGTGGTCTTGGTCAGATATTTTGTATTATAGTTTGAGGACAATTTTTTTTTGAGAGATTTTTGCTAGAGAGAGACAGAAAGTGAGAAATCACCCCCCTCCCCCCAGGGGGATGGCCATGCCACAATCCCTTCTCCATTCTCCTCTCAGGATCTTGGGCATGCACAAACGCGTGCTCTGTGTGAGTTTAAGCCACTGGGTCCGGGTCTCAAACCGTGGTCAACTACATGGAAGTCCAGCGACATAGCCATTACACCATCTGCTGGTCCTGAGGATAACTTTTTTTTATTTGCTGGAGGGCACCTGCACTTGCCAGGGAGAATGAGAGAGAAAAAGCAGCCCTCAATGAGGTGGAGCCGTCTACAGCCCTGCCCTTTTTCCTGTCTCTCCATCCTGTCAGGAGTTTTGGCACATATGCTCAGTGTGCGTATCAAGCCTCCAGGGCTGGGATTCAAACTATGGTTGATTCCGTGGGATGCAGCACTGTGCTTTACCATTGTGGCACAGAGCCAGCCATGTAAATTTTGTAAATTTTCAGAGCATGCATGCATTCACCAGGGAGGAAGAGAGAGAGAGGAAGTACCCCTTATGGGGGTAGTCATGCCGTAATCCCCTCTCTGTTTCTCCTTGTGGGATTTGGGCATGTGTGCACATGCCTTAAGTGTGCTTCAATTCGCCCGGTCCGGGACTCAGATCACCCAGTCGGCCATGTGGGACCCAGCCGCCTTAACCTCGCGCCACCAGCAGGCCCGGGGCATACTCTTCCTACTCAGTTTCCCACAGTTATGCTTCTCTCTGACCGTCTTTCAATCCAAACTTAGAACACCCAATACACACACACACACACACACACACACACTCTCCCTCTCTCTTCTGAAAATGTTTGCTTTTTCCTCTGTAAAGTTGGGAGAAAATACTACTTCCTTCCTCTAGAGCTTACTCTCAACCCTCATCAAGTAGGCACTCCCCACCATCCTCATGAACTTTGACACCGTAGAAGAGCAGGTCGCTGGCTTCTCTTCAGTTCTTAACGATGCTCTGGTACCTCTCCTGAGCAGTCTTAGTAAACAGGCAATTGTGCGACTGCGAGGGAGAGTAAGGGTGCGAGCGACTCGACACTTCTAACACAGCAGACACCTGGGGCCTGACCCGGTGCAGGCCGGCTTCCTGGGGGCAACTGCAGTACGTTCTCATGAAGCTTCTCAATGGGCGACACTTCAACTTTTTTTTTTTTTTAGATTGTTGCTACAGGGCACATGCACTTGTCAGAGAGACAGACAGAGACAGAGATGGGGGAAGGTGAGAAAGCACCCCCACGCGGCGTGATCATTCCACAGTCTCTTTTTCTCTATTCTCCTCTTGGGATTTTGGGGAGGCACGCACACACAGAATGTTTTTCAAGCCACTGAGTATGGGACTCAAACCATGCAGTTGGTCGTGCTGGATCCAGGTGCCCTAACCACCAGCCACTGGCTGTTCTGATAATCGGGAGTCCAGTGCCTTAACTGTCACGCCACGTGCTGGCCCAGGTCTTCATTTTCATAAGTGCAGCTGAGCTCAAAGGCACCAGCAGGTCAACCTCTACACAAGGTGGTAAGTTTCTGTCCCTGACAAGGTAGCGGTTGGCACAAGGAAGACGAAATGAACACTATTATATCAAGGTAATTACAAGGCCCTGCCTTGGGGGGGAGGGGTTGACTATTTTTTGCTGAGTAGCCTAGCATTATTCTCATTTAATCTCTTTTTTTTTTTTGTTTTTTGCTATAGGGCGTGTGCGCTCACCAGAAAGACAGAGACAGAGACAGAAAGCAAGAAATCGCCTCCCAGGGGGGATGGCCAAGCCACAATCCCTTCTCCTCCATTCTCCTCTCGGGATCTTGGGCACGCACGCACACACGCCCGGTATGAGGTTAAGCCACCGGGTCCAGGACTCTAACTGTGATCGACTACATGGGAGTCCAGCAACATAGCCATTACACCAACTGCTCGTCCCTCTCATTTAATCTTACGACATTCAAATATAGTACAGGGCAAGCTGGAGGTGGTGGCTTAAAGCAGCTGGATCCCACGTGGTTAACTACAGTCTGAGTCCCAGACCCGGTGGCTTGAAAAACATCCGGGCACATGTGCGTGCATGCCCCAAATCCTGAGAATAGAGAAGAGGGGATTACAGTGTGGCCATCCCTCCTGGCCGGATGCTCTCTCACTTCTCCTTTCTCTCTCACTCTCTTCAGAGAGTGCATGCTCCCTCTAGGAAAAAAAAAAAAAAGAGTAGAGTAGGCATCATTTTCTTCCGATACATATGAGGAGAATGAGTAAAGCTCAGAAAAATTAAATAAATAGGTGAGTGGAGGTGCTGAGATTTAAATACGGTGTGCAACAGCAGGGCCCCCCCTCAGCCTAACCGCACCTGGCACAGGGCAGGGGCCCAGCAGTTCCCTGCGGGAAGAATGAATGAACCTCCCCTTTTCCGGTCTTCGCCATCTGCGCTCTGGCCTCTCCTGGGAACGACCCAGTGACACCGGGGGCTGATCTGCACTGAAAGGTTTTGACGAGCCCACTGTTAAATGAGTGCACCTCATCAAGGTGGAGGAGCTCTGTCCTCTCTTGACACATTTTCAAGGGTCCCTTCTCTGTGGTCCAGACCAGTGCCTGGACTGGTCCGCGGACGTCTGGGCTGGGAACAGGGGCAGGGGAGAGGGGAAGCCTGCGAAGGGCTGAGGGAATGGGAAAGGCCAGAGGAAAGTGTCTGAAAACACAATTACTCCGAAAATTGTCAAAGGGTCGGGCACCATTTTCTCCCGGGATGCCCAGTCCATTCGCAGAGCTAACGACATCGAGCCCACGGCCCGTGGACGTGGAGGTAGGCCACCCCAGGCCGAGGGACCGGTGATCGTCCGGGCTTGGGGGCGGCGGCGGCCCCAACCGGGGCGTGGCCCGGGCCGGTCCCCGCAGGCGGGCAGGAGCTCCGAGGCCATTGGCTGGCGCGCGGGCTGCGCAGGGGCGGGCGCGCCGCCGAAGGGGACTGTTTGCTCCTACGGGCTGTAGATGGAGCTGTCCGGCCCCTGCGAGGGGGACGGCGCCTGGAAAGCGTTCTTCTTCTCCCTGGCCGGCCCGAGCGGGGAACAGCACTCCCAGGATGCAGTTTGTGTCAACACGGCCGCAGCCTCAGCAGCTGGGCATCCAGGGCCTGGGGCTGGACAGCGGGAGCTGGAGCTGGGCCCAGGCTCTGCCCCCGGAGGAGGTCTGCCACCAGGAGCCGGCGCTGCGCGGGGAAATGGCCGAGG